CTCAGTGGCACGTATGCATACTCTTTAGGTCATCTTGAAATTTAGAATACTTTTGTTTGCCTTCCTGCATGCATTCACTTTCTTCTCATATAATTCAGCCTCCTTTGACGTCATTCTTTTTCTACGTACTTCTTATTTATGTGTTTCTGAGAAGCATGATAAGTTAAATCAGTGCAATATCGTACCAGGTTATACGCTGATCTACCTTTCTGGTTACCTCTTTCTACTCATCAATGATTAGATTCAACATATGCTTCCTGAAGTAGTAATTGGAAGCAGCATGATGTTGGAGTCAGGTAAGTTGTGAGTATGGAAAGAGGCCTTCTGATACCACAAGTTTTTGGAAACGCACTACAGCAAATACACAGCAAGGGATTGTGTTTGTACGTTACTAGGTGCTAAAAACAAATAATTATTGCTTCCTGGTTTTCAGTAGCTCTGTGTTAGATGCCAATCCATGATAAAAGAATAACCCTTAAAGTAATCAACTCAATTTCAACCTACTGTTTGAAGAATCAGAAGTGTCCGTCTCATTCCACCATTTGGCGAATTCCATGCTGATATGCATAGGCGAGCACTTTGATTATAACCTTCAGTTCTCAATTCGACTGGGGCTCGTTTCTCAAAAGTAAAATGAGAGGTAAGATAACATTAGATGTATGATAGGTTTCAGTTAGTTACAAAATAATGTCTTGAATGTTTGAGTGTGAGTTAGGTTCACACGGACTGTTTCAGAAGAGAATCTGTCATTGATTTTACTGTTATCCAATCAGCCTGGTGTACGTCAAGTCTAGTAGTCTTCCCGAAATGTTCAAGGTGGGATTATCGCTTGTGAGCATATTCAGGGATTTCAGGCTATTCTTGAGATCCAAAAACTATATATTGTATATACTTACATTGTCTGAATCTACCGACTGCCTTTATTTTAAGTTGGGCGTAAGTGCAGACTTATGCTGACACTTCATGTACTGTAAGCCTACATACCGCTTTATTTGTTATCATAAATACTATATCCAAATACTAATTCATAATTTCACTTCCAAAAAGTAACATATTTTACTTTTGAATCATCCTAACCAATATGATAATTGCAAGACTAACCTCACTTACAAAACGAATCCCAGTAAAATAGTTTCAAAAGTTTTTATAAGACACAACTTTTTTATCATTTCAAATTTCATGAGGCTTCTTACCGTAGACTGAAGTAAGCTGGAAGTAAGCTCGAAAACATGAAGCACTGAATTTAGTTGGTTACATTCTTTGCATCCACAGACACTGCATATAGGTATAGGAGTTTAGCCGGTGAATATATCCTATATTCCACTTCAGAGCTGTTCATGGGCTGTTGATGAGTTTTAAGTATGCTTAAGAGCTGAACATTTACACTTCCATGAAAGACTTACCAGTTTTCACAGCCATGAGGCTAAATTATTGCTTTACAAAGCTTGAGTTTGGCCCCTGTTTGAATACTGTTCGGTTACGAATGTGGTCAGGATTATTCGTCTCGATATACTTCTACTTTGGATGAGACGTCTTAGGACAAACCTTGCATTTTTCTTTAAGAATTTACGTAAAATATCCTTTACAACTAGTAGGAAAATCCGTTTCATGACAGACTGCTGTTACAGTCTACGCTATCAAGCCCACAGGGTTGTAACAAAAGCTTTTTAAACATCTTTCCCAGCTAGCCTTTTCTCTATTATATCTTCGAAAATATGGAACCATCTTCCTGTCGATATAAAAGTTTCCAGTTCAACTATTCAGTTCAGTCGTATGCTAGAAAGATTCTTGTCCTCCGGCGAACCCCCCAACATACTTAGCGAACCATAACAATGTCACACAATGCCCAGTGTAATAGGTCCCCTAAATGTATGAAATGTCAAACCCTGACCAGTAAATCCATACACTCCCACTATTACATTCCATGGATACGATTACAACAGTTAGGACTACTCTGGTAATTAAGTAGCTCAGTTATAGCTCCCACTTATTAACATCAGGAATGAAGACACCTTCAGATATATCTCCTCAAAAAGGCATTACAGAAATGCAATGAATACCGTCTTTTTAATCAGAATATACACAAAACCTAAGGCTATACATATAATGGTAGGTGTGACACTCCAAGTATATATATGAAGAAATATATGTAAATAACTTCCTTGTGCCTTGGTTCGTCGTTGGCTGTTTCCTCTATTCTTGCTGTAAATAGAATCTTGGAAACCTGCAATTAGAGTGGAACAATGTTATTTCATCAGTACTTTTCTCAGATATCACTGCCTCCGTCACCAAGTAACTCCTGCACAACAGTGCAACCTGTGATAAATATTCTTGTAGCATCACATGAAGATCCTTCCATGAAGCCTCTTGACAATTATTTATTTATCCAATGTTTTAAAGAATCATTCATTTACTGCAATGCTTTACTTCCGAATGGTTTACTGACACCAATTCGTTCCCTGTGGCTTTAAACAGCATACAAAAATTCTAGAAGTACCTACAACGTTATCTATAGGTACAGAATCTTTGGGTAGATCTTGAAATCGAACGTAATTTGACGATTATTCACCCGGCCTTATATCTACTATGGTGGACATATGTTAAATTTAGCATGAACAAACAAAACTAAAACGTTTAATCAAGGAGGTGTTATATTACTATCATTATTATTTATTTTTCAGTCAGTATATCTTGACGTTTCAATGAACCTGGAGATGCATATCTTTTTAATAATACAAAGAATCTCCCCCGCTACTTCCCTCTTTATTAATGATCTTTCTAATGAAAACTCTTGAGTAGTTTGGCTAGCATTACTTCTTTGAGAATGAACTTGTTGAATTGCTTCCCCTTCTTCTTTGCATGTTGCTTTTATAGATTCATTAAACATGATTTTAATTCCTGCAGAAAACATGTAACTTAAAGTGGATTATGTGTTTGTGATGTAAAACCTTCTTTCTTTCAGCCTGAGGATTTCTGTTATCTGGGATCAAAAAGAAATAAACAACATTACCAAGGATTTTTCCTCACTAAATATAATAACCGGATCTGTAAAAATGGTATGCACCTGTGAATTCAGGAATAAAAATTATTATTAATTTCACATAAACCCAAAAAACTAATTGACGACTAAAATTACTAGTTCACATATTTCCACTCAAGATATATTTGCGTGTTCTCTGATATCTAATACAATTGTTGCTAGAATGTCACATATATTTGTAAAATCTAATTGAAGTCAGTAGGATTAAGAAACCGGATGTTTGCAAAAGCATTGTGCTGAGGAGAGATGTGATGCTTTTAAACTATGATGTTTATGGTCAACATCAGTCTACTGTTCAGCAGAAGAATGAAGATCGTCTGCTGTCTTGTCAGTGTCGTGCTTGGTTACGGTTTCGTATTTACTGTAAAACAGTCATATACAATACACTGCCAGGTAACATTTTGTCTCTTCCCTATTTCATCAAGTCACATAGACACTAAGGTAATACTACTAAGCTGCAATTCTATGGCATATTAACCAGCTGTTATTTTACACCTTCAGCACTTTTTAAGCAGTTTCCATTTACACACAGACGCGCAGCACTCCAGTGCACATCCTGGATGTTTATATGACTCTTCAGCCTACTTCCTTGCTTCACTTCTAATTGTTTGTTTAAATAACTGTCTTATCAGCTGATTGAATCGTTTAAATGTTAGATGGAAGCAATACGAGCAAGTACCAAAGACAGTCGGTGACCCTTGATAATATTAGTTGGATAAGAGCAGTCGCTAGGAAGCCCTAGATCTAGGTTTTGTGGATCTTGGCACCCGTCAGTAAGGTATATCTGCAACCTCCACCTTACTGATATCGCATCTGGGATTCGAACCCATGTAACCCAGTACTGCAGTCAGAGACGTTACCACTGAACAATACTAGAAGTAACTTACCTCCTGTACTACTGGATTGGGCACACTGATTGGTCACTGCAGGGTGATCAACTTAATGTCGTCTAGTCCTTGGTTCTATGAAAATTCTGTCGATCACTGTGCTATGTGGCCACCAGATTACTTGAATCAACATCCAGATGACTTTTGGTAGATGTCAGTTCAATTTAAGTAATAGCCAGGAACCCGGTCCTGCTGATGAGTGCCAACAAGCACGAAACCTAGATCCAAGGCTTCCTGCCGATTGCGTCCATCCAACTAACATATGTCAAAGTCCATTGACATGTTGAGTCAACTAACATGGTGGCCACATTGCAGAGTGATAGACAGAATTCGAATAAGACCAAGGACTAGACAAGATGAATTCGGTCACCTTGCAGTGACTAATCAATGTACTTCATAATATTGTTTGATTTCGAAAAACAAGTTAATCTATGTCTTCTACATAAAGTAACTCCAGTTCAGTCCTCATATCCAAAGATAATTAATGTTTCTACAACACAAAAGAATCGAAGTGGATTTCAAACCATTGACTGAGTGAAGTGATCCAACAGTTAACCATTCTATTGGGCTACTTTGGCTACAAAATGTTTGCACTCAGTTGCCATGTTAGAATGACAAACGACTTCTCGTTACTCATTGTAATGACCAATACATCTGGTACTCTTAAGGCCTGCTTGTCACTTTCACATGTAGCTTTATTATCCATTATCATCTTTTATATTGACCATTCGCTTGGTCAGTAAATTGTCGGGAACAGGATTTATATTCTCAAATTTGATACTGTAAGACTGGTTGTGTGTAGATCTCATTAGATTACCTGTCCTCCCCCCTGACATTGATCATTTCGATCTACCGAACCAGTGGTCACATTTTATCTTATTACATAAATCTTTATAAATATGAAAAAAATTTCGATTTTGTTGTTTATTGGTTATTCAGAAAAGACTAAATCAAAGGTGACACAATAATACCCAAGATTTACAGAGTTGCACACTTATTGATTGATTTTTTTCTATTTGTGTTCAATTGATAAAAACTGTTTACCTTATATATATACATATGTAACTTGAATGCACGATCATTTGGGTATACAAGTGCTTGTGACAAAGTCAAGAGATTGCACGAGTGAATAAAATGTAGACATTATATTACGAATATTATTGTTATTATTACCACTATTGTTGCTGATTAACTTGAAACTTGTCATAGTATTTATTCTGTATTGGTGGAATGAATAAACGACCTATTAACACCCTTAACCCCCTACTTTGCATCTCAGTACGAATAGAACACTATGTGGAATTACGCATCACCGACAAGTATGCTATGCCTTTATTTCAATATCGCTTTGAACAGCACCTCTCTAGTCCATGGAAAGAGCCAAGAAAGCCGATAAAAACTAAACTTATCCTCACATACACATCAGTAATTCTGAAGGATACCTCATGGTGGCCATATCGTGTTGTTCATTCTATTGACTATAAATCTATACGAAAGTTTATCACCTTTAATCAAGAGAGTTTACGATTTGCCATCGGGATATATGATGAAGATTTTGCTGAAAAACAATATGTTGTTATGTCAACAAAAACATTTTCTGATATAGAAAAATTAATTCAATTAATACATTCCCAATTACTGATATGTAGGTATTCCTTAAAGCAAGAATCTGAACAGTCAAATAAATCAGTAATATCAAAGTCAACCACCCAGAAGAACTTGACAAATTTATCAAAATCACTTGATAAAATTCACTTAATCGATAAAAGTCATGGTATTATAACGTCGAATAGTGTACATCCAGTCAAGTCAAGTGTGAATGGTGATGAAAGGCAATTCAATGAAAAATTGGGGAACAACACATACAAAACATTGAAATATGATAATAACCGTCATCAAGGTAGTTACCACGATCCCCAACAAGAAGACCATCACCCTTACTATGGGTATCGACATGAAGATAAGCACACAAGACATATTTACACTAATCTAGATAATATTTTCATAGATAAAAAATGCTTTCAGTTAACCCAAGCACATCCAATAATTGTAACCATAGCAATAAAGAAGATAAAAGGCAATTGAAAAAAACAAGGAAAATGGATGGAGAAGTTAGAAAACTTAGAAATTGCAATAAAAATTGTCAAACAGATTTCGATGACTATAGTTGTTCTTATTATTATGATGAAAATGATAAAAAGACATGGGAAGTAGATATTAAGCACATACGTTATGATCCTATCCTGGGTAATATTCTAGATAACAATGGTTCAGTTTATTTATATACAGCACACGAAATTGTCTAATATGCACAGTAACTATTCCTTTACAAGGTTTGATTATTATTACTATTATTATCAATTAGATTGAACAAAAAATATATATGGCTGGTTACATTTTATTTTTTTCTTTTATTGGTATAAGACAAAGTAACACATATATATTTAGATTCTTAACATTCTCTTCTCAATAAGCCTATTTTAAATATTTACTTTTATAAGTCAGTGCGACTGAATGTTTGTGAAACTCTTCTTGCATTGCTCGTGGCCCGGTGATCAGTAAGTTGTGTTACTAGTATCCAAAAAATTGATTATATACAGGAATTTATCATCAGTGAGTTAACTATATGGCTATCTAGCCTTCAGTTCTCAGCGGTGATCAAAGTCTATCGATCAAGTTCAAAATGTGATCAGTAAGTTAAGTGATATCACACTGCAGTGCACTGTATTTCTTGTGTTAGATGTTGTGGACTTAGATTTCGTACTTTTTAACGTTTATCAGTAGGGTTTATGGAACCTCCATCACTAGGTGTGGAAGCTAGTAACTTTATTACTAAGTTACTCAGAATTAAATGACTCATTTACAGATAATTTTTGCTGATGAGTATGAACAAGCACAAAAAGGCCTGAGAAAGTTATTGACTTGTTCAAATTTCAATTTAGAAAGAAAGCAATTTTCAGTTCTCTATAACAGAGGCACATGAATATGTTGTACAATTCATGTAGTTGATAATGAGGGCTGCCTCATACAGCCAGTACATTTTAGTCTAAGAAACATATTTGTGATGGTGAAGGGGGTACATCAAGTCCAAACCTGAGCTGATTATGTATATTCATTGTTATAAAACGGCTCACGTTTTCTTACTTCTGTCGTCCCACAGTACAACGTGATTCATCAAAATACCACCTAACTGAATAATAATGGAACAGTGATGGATGTTCTTAGTCAAATTCCTTTCAATTTTTTTTGTGTGATGGACAATATCAAAACTAAACATTACTAGAATTCAGTTCAAAATAATTAACAATGTAGGCGATTCAATATCTTACGTAACAGTAGATGGTCAAAACCAATTATATCAGAGATTTGTTATTTAAAAGCGCAGGATTACGAAAGGTTGTGAATTTTATAGTTCCAAGTTATAGTGATTATAGGTTAATAGAAATTTCGTTTACATTTAGTATTAACTGCTTCAGAATGAATAATAGCATTAACAGAGGGGGAAAAAGTGCCGTTTGCAGTTATTTGTATGAATGTTGGTGTTTATATAAGTTCATAGTGAGATAATTAAACACAGTCTAATCAAAGCAAAAGATCCAACTTTACAAATGTATCGAGGCTACATTGAGAGAGTTGGATGAACCTTAAGAGTATACGGAGGGAAGCACTAGTTTGGATGTTTTGTAGTTCAGGCAGCTGACAAGATACAGTGCTTAAGAATTTCTGGATCTCAAAGCTTTCTAGGGTAATAGTAACGGCTGACTATAAATTCAACTGTTTAGAGTTTTCAGTGTCTGACGACATTTAGGGACATTATAGACGATGGAAGTGAAGTGATCACTATTAACTTTATTGTCTGTTCGGACTAACTGGGTATATATCGAAATAGCCATGTTTTTCATGACAGCTTTATTTAGTGAGGCTAGATGTTCGCCAGCACAAAAAGCTAATTCTATGGTCATTGGCTCTAAAGTAGAAATTGAAACGATTAACATAAAAAAGCGTCGCCAGGTTACGTACTTCATCTTTCATCACTGGTAACACATGTCGATGACACCAACTGCAATTTCCAATTAATAAACCTTCCCTTGATCGATGTTTGCAGATTCTGAATTAGTGTTTAATTAGGCAGTTTTCCCTTAAATTACACTCTCATTTAATGAGGTTTCTCGTTCACAGTTGAGATGGATTATCTCTTTCCTCTTGTGGTCACGTACTCTGTTGTAAACTTTTAAGGTTGTTATTGATCATAGACTGACATTAGTTGGAAGTAAACCTGGGAGCACTGGACAGCTGTTTCGTCCTAGTGCAGGGACTCCTCAGCAGTGCGCACCCACGACCCCACCCCGCCAGGGATCGAACCCGTGACCTTCAGGTTCCTCCAACTGATGTCAGTCTTCGATGAGTAACAACTTGAAATATTTCCAAATCCCCACAACCCCCTCAAAATTCAACTTTTTAAGTAATGATTTTGGACATCGTGTCATGTAAAGTCTTCAGTTTTTTTTCCAGTCATATCCTTATGTCATAGTTCTTACTGTTACTGAGGATAATCACTAGCTTTAGTTTCTACTAGATTATTATTAAAAGTCCCTTGAGTTCCCAGTGGGACATAGGGCTTCAGTAGCACGTTTCCAGTGACCTCTGTTCTCTGAAATCTTTTGAACCTGGCTCCACGACAGCCCACAAGCTCTCATTTACTCCTCGCACCATCTCCTCCATGTCATCCCCCACCTCAAACAACCAACTCGTCGCTTCCCATGGGGATTCCACTCGAGCAACTGGCCTGACGCGTGATGTCCCCAGCTGGCCTTCTCAGTGTATGCCCAATCCATCTCCACTTCCTTCAAGTGCATTTTCGTTCAGCGATAGCTTCTTGGTTGGTTCGTCCCCAGAGCTCCTTGTTGCTTATTCTGACTATTCTGGCCATCTGGTCTGATCTTCAGTAACGAGCCAACATAAGCAGTTGTTGATGAATGTCTGTAGTTTATTGGAAATCCCTTTCGTAACGCGCCAAGTCTCTCAACCATCACACAGAAGCACTGACTTGACGTTTGTGTTGGTGTTGAAAATCCGAATCTTGTTCCTCATGTTGAGTGCAGAAGATCTCCACACTGGTTTCAGGCTAATGAACGCCTATCTTGCTTTTCCGATTCTGACTTTGACATCCTCGTCTGTGCCTGTGCCGCCTGTAGTTGAAACAGTGCCTCCTAGATAGGTGAAGGAGATTACTTCCTTTAAGTTTCTCCCGTTGACGGTGATTGGAGTTTGTTGTTGTTGTTGATGGTGGTGGTGCGGTATCTTCATCACCTCTGTCTTCTCCACATTCACTTGAAGTCCCGTCTTCGCTGCCTCTTCTGAGAACTTGTTAGTTTTCGCCTGTAGATCTTCAAGTTTGTGTGACATCAGACACAAGTCATCACTGGCGAAATCCAAGTCTTCTAGGTTCTTTTCCACAGTCCAGCCAGCGTATCCCCCTCTTCTCGCTCCACACTGTTGTCTGCTGCATGAGCCAGTCGAGTCGACCACAATCAGGAATATCATGGGTGATAGTAGGCAACCTTGTTTCACTCCTGTCTTCACTTCAAAAGCATCACTGAGCTTCCTACTGTGAATTACTTGGCATGTGGCGTCTTCATATAGTTGTTGAATGAGGCGGATAAAGGTTTGTGGTATTCCGTAGTGTTGAAATAGCAGTTTCCAAATTACCACTCGGTCGACGCTGTCAAAGGCCTTCTCAAAGTCGATGAAGTTGAGGTAAGGTAGAGAGTTGACTGACATTCTATACTCTGTTCTATGATGATGTGTAGCGTGGCGTTGCAATTCGGTCCGCACATGCCTTATACTTCCTGAAGCCTGCCTGTTCCGGTCGCAGTTTTGAATCCAGTGCATCCTTTAGCCTCTCCAAGATGATGCGGCTTAATATTTTGCCTTCTCTGGGTGGACAGGAGAGTGATCCCGCACCAGTTCTTGCAAGCACTGAGGTCTCCTTTCTTCGGCAGTTTCACAAGGTAACCCTTCTTCCAATCAATAGGCAGGTACCTTCTCCTCCTTCCACACCTTCTGCAATAGTGGTGTGGTGTGAGCATGTCCGCTGTTGTCTCTGCGTCTGTTCTCAGTGCTTCTGGTGGGATCCCATCTGGTCCTGCTGCTTTCCCACATTTCAGTAGCTTTATGGCGTTCAGGACTTCCACTTTTGTTGGAGGATTTATGTTCACTTGTAGTTCAGTGGCTGTAGGTGGTATTTGTGGGCGAAGTGCAGGTGGTGGTCGATTCAAGAGCTTCTTGAAGTGGCCGGCCCATTGTTTCCTTTGTTTCTCTTCTTTCGTAATTAGATTCCCGTCATCATCTTTTATTGGCTTCGTCTGCGTTGACCTTCTCCCAGATAGCAACCTGGTTATTTGATACAATATCGTCAGGTCTCTGTCTCTCTTACCTGCAGCCGGTTCTGCATCACTTGCCAGTGTTTCGTAGAAGTGTCTTTTGTCTTTCCGTGCACTCTTCTTCATTTCTTTGTCCAGTGTTTTATACATTGTACTCAGTTCCTCTTCACGTTGTGCATCCTTGCACTGCTTTATCTTCTGCTTCACCATCCTCCTCTCCCTACTCTATCAGCTTCCATGTGGAGGTCCGTCCATATCCATTCCTTATCTTCTTTATTCTTCCTTCCTAATACGGTCGTGCAGGTTTCTTTCCACATCTCTTTCAGAGACTTCCAGTGTTCTTCTACACAGGTTTCTTTGGCGATGTTCCTCGATATCTCCCATTTTGTCTTGATGGCTGGCTGCCGTGAAGATTTCCTTTGTAATTTCATCCTTCAGTTTCCGAGTGTTGTACTTGAAGTGCTGTCTATCACCAGCTTCCTTGAAGGCTTTTAACTTGATTTGGAAGGTTCCTTGAACTAGATGATGAGTGGTCTGAACCTACATCTGCTCCTCTTCTTCACCTTGTGTCAAGTAGACTGCGTCTCCATTTTCTTGAGATTGAGATAAAGTCGATTTGATTTTTAGTGTGTCCTGATGTCTGGGGGAATCAGATCCATGTCGCTGACTTGTGGATATCCTTGTACTTGAACACACTGCCTGACTCCAATCACCGAATCGTTGAATGCACAGAATTCTGCAAACAATTCTCAATTCTCGTTCATCACCTCACCGAACGCTTCTCGACCCATGGTTAGTTACCTTCCTGTGTTGTCCCCTCCCAGTTTGGCGTTCATGTCACCCCACCCATTAGAATTTTGATATCGCCAACTGCAGTGTGGTCTTGTCCAGTGTTGATTGAAGTTGTTTGTAGAAATCCTCCTTTTTCTCTTACTCTGCATTATTTGTAGGTGCATAGTGTAGCATTGTATGATTGTGATCTTCCTTCCTTTTGAGTTGAATCCATCTTGTTTTCATGATCCTGGAGGAGGAGATTGGTTCCCACTGCATGAGACACAGCCTTCGATGCTGTT